CCCTAGCCCCCGCCACCCCGGCGCCGGCCCCTCTCACCCTTTCATTCTCTGCCCGGGGCCTGACGCGGGCCGGCGAATCCCCGGCCTCACGTAAGCGCGCTCGCCGCCCGCCCTGCCTGCGCGGCCCTGCCCGCCGCCCTACGGGAGCCCGGGGATGTGGGCCGGGCCTGGGGCCGCCTCTGCTTACCTTTCAGCTGCTTTTTTTTTTTTTTTTTTTTTTTTTTTTCCTCCTTCCCCCCTTTTCCCTCGGCCGGGCTGACAGATCAGAGTGAGAGGCGCTGGCAATGGACTCGGAAGCTCGGCTGCCGCTGCTACTGCTCTCCCCTGGGCTCCGGCGAGAGCCTTTCCCTGTCAAGCAAGAGGGGTGAGGATCATATTTTTATTTTGGAAACTAAAAAGTGCTCCCAGGGTCGGTGATTATTAAGGGGAAATCCCTGAATATACTCTCCAGCCAAGAAGGCAGGGCTGCCGGGGCTGCACAAGAAGAGGCAGCAGCCTCCTATAGCACCACTACAGGCACTGCGAGGACATAACACCAGAGAGCCGCTCCTCTGCCCTCCGAAACGACAACTTTCCTACCATCTTGGAGGCAGAGGAAAGGGGGGCCGGGGGGAAAAGTGCACCCGCTGCCGATAAAGTACACACTTCTACTTCTCATCTCTGGAAAAAAGTCCACACCGGCCGTCTACACCGGCGCCTGGGGGAGAAAGCAGGGAAGAAACTGGGGGCGCTTGAGAAACGTTTTCAGTTGCTCCACGGGGAAAAATGTTTCTGCATCTTCTGATGGAAAGAAATCTTGACAAGACACAGGTTTTCCGGTGATTATTGTTTTCTATTTTCTATTTAATTTTTTTTTTCCCATGTCGGGGGCAGTGGTATTTTCTTTTCTTTTCTTTTTTTCAGGCTAATCATGATTTTTCTCCATTGCAGGTCCAAGTTCTGTGTCTGGTGGTCAGTTTATAAGTTTGTGCTTCAAGAGACTTCATAGCCACTCTGTGTCCATTTGTCTATTTATATGTTTTTACAGGTATATTTACAGGTTGCCTTCTGTATAAAAATGGGGATTATATATTCCCCTCAAAACTGAGATTGCTGAAAGACAATTGTAAAGGGATGTCTTTTGTCTCCTTTTCTCAAAGCAATGTAAATAAAACCTATTGACTGTCCAGAAAGGCAGTTTATTTTTCACAGTGCAAATAAAGGCAGAGATCACGGAGAGGTTAAATACAACTTAGGTATAACTGACCAGATTCCTGGAAATGATTCTAATTCTGTTAGGGTCTCCCCAGGAAGAAAGGTTACTGTACAACTGGAAAGAGATTTGAAAGACAGCTTTAGATTTTCTTTAAAACTGCTTATTAAGAAACTTTGCTTATTATACCCAGATACTGGCTTTTCTAATTAGATACTTTAGCTCTTTGGTGCCTTGCATGTGTTGCTGCCCACTTTCTGTGTCACAGAATGGAAAAATATGTGTTTTTGTTAGAGTTGCTGTGTTGTTGGTTCATAACTTCCAGTGTGCTGCCCGCCTCTATAAATTACTTTTAATATATTGCAGTGGATGTCACGGGTCTACTTTTTTTAATGAGCAAAGCTTAGTAGATGAGTGGGATCAAAGTTACACAAAGCTGAGGAAGCACAGAGGTGAGAGAAGCGTGCCGCCCCCTTGCAGCAATTCCCACAGAACTCTTATTGGAGGAGAGTAAATTACAGAGATGTTTTTCTATTTTTGCAAAGAGAATACCAGAAAATGACCAGAGGATCTTTTTGTATGTTCTACAGGGAATGATGAATTGAATCTTGAACTAAAAGTTATTTTTCTGACATATGTGGCTAACCTGGTGGGAATGGATTTGTAATATTAGTGCCTTGAATCAGCAGAATATTTCTTTCATTTAAAATGTATTGTAGAGCACTTAGAAATAACTGATGACTCCACTTAAAAATGTCTTTCTTTGAGCTTCCAAATTTAGAAATTCCCATAATGTTAAAGTGAGTTCAGATAATGCGTATATCAGATACTTATTATTTTCATGTTGACCCCCATCTTTATCATCTAAACTTGAATACAGTACCCTCTCCCTCTGCTGCTCCCCCTGTTTATGCTCTCTCACTTGCCCTCTCACAAATAAATAAAATCTTAAAAAAAAATCTAAAGTAATTAAAGTAAAATTAACTGATTCTGATCATCTTGGAAACCTCAACTGTGAAATTGTGTTCTATTTACAAGTTTTTAAAAAACATTTGGAGATCAAATTGGTCATAACAAGGAAATTACTTCCCTTAACATGGAACCCAAGTGGACTTGAAAAACGTGTTTCGAACTTGTTCTTACATATGATGTGACCTTATAGGTATGCTTTGCATTTTTCAAGAAATTAAGATGTGTTCACTTTAAGCTGACTGCACCCTTTTATGCAATCCCTCTTGTGTCCCACAAACTTATTTGCATGATAGGGATATGGGATATGATGCATAATCTTAGTATCTCAGTGTCTTTCTCTTTATAAAGCATGACTTACTTGTACATGGCTATAATCCCAGATGTTTATCCACCAGCTGAGCTAAATAACCCAGACGGGGAATTACAGCCTAACCAAGAAAGAAATCTCACTACGTTTGCAATATTGGTGAATTTGATTGGCCAGTATTTCAGTTGATAATTGAACTCATATTAGGTGCTGTGTCTCCATAATTCCTAGAAGCTGCAGGTGGTAACAAAACTACTGACATAATTGGGGTGCCTGGGTGGCTCAGTCAGTTAAGTATCTGCCTTTGGCTCAGCTCATGATCCCAGAGTCCTGGGGTCGAGTCCCGCATCGGGCTCCCTGCTCCTTGGGAGCCTGCTTCTCCCTCTGCCTCTCTCTCTCTGTCTCTGTCTCTCATGAATAGACAATTAAAAAAAAAAAGAAAATACCACCTATATCGTTAAAAGGTCTCACTCATTGATTGTGTGGATTTAAAATGATTTACGTGTGTTTAATATATTAGATGTCTTTAAGCAATAAACCCATGCCTTTGTTGGCAAATGTTTGCTGACAGAATTGAGTGTTTAAAAAGACACTGACGGCAGACATGGTTATACAAATTATACATGGAGTTTTCTAGGGGGGATAAGGGTACGGGTATGAACCTTCCCTAATTATACATTTCCAAAGACAGACTCTAAAGTCAAATCAGGAGTCCCTAGCCAGTGTAAAAACTCCCAAGGAGGTGAAAAGGTAGAAGTAGGCTGTGTGTACAGAGCCTGAAGGTTTTCAAAACCACACTATTATGATGGCCATAGACACAATTGTTTTTCACTTTACGCATTTCTGTTTTGGAAACATTTGTTGGTAATGTTTCTATCTAAAACAAAGATTCGGTTTTATCGTGGTTACGGTGCCCTGCAAGAAAATGTTTCTGAGACAAGTGTATTTGGCAGACATCCATGTCATGGTTTTAGATTATTTGAGTATGAAATTTCTGTAATATAGATTCAGCTGTAGTCAAAACACACATGATCAGGTCATCTCCACATTCTAACACCTAACCCAGGGGCACTGAGACCTGGGAATTCCTACCTGATGCCATGCCAGAAACCAAGAAAGTCTTTTTTTTTTTAATCCCCATAAGGGCCAAAAGATATCCTCCAGGAACCCGTTGGTCACTGGCAGCAGCAGGGACGAGACGTGTCCCCAGTGCCATTTAACTGCCTTATCATGCTTTCGGCAGAAGAATGTAACTTAGCCTAGGCTGTCGGCCTTCTGGAGATGTTCTGTGGACTACCAACCTACAGTAAGGAAAACAACTGTCTAACCGAAGTTGTGGTTTAAGTAATGATTAGTAAAAAGAAACACCCAAAAGCAGTATTAATGATTGTATTTGAGTAGAATTATAAGTGATTGTCAGCCTTTTCTATAATTTATAATGAAAAACTATCCCAAAAGTGGTGGTTTAGCTAAAACATTGTAGTAGGAAGAGAAATCCATAGAGCCCTCAGAATAACAGGCAAAGGTCAACACAAAGATCACAGTGTTCACTTCTGCTACATTCCTGGTGAAGCGAGCTTTTTGTAGACCCACTGGGAACTTAACCACTATTTCCATGGGAAAATAAATTCCAGGTTCCAAACAGCTAATCAACAGTGATGTTCCGGAACACGTTCATTAATAAGTTTGGACTTCTTGTACTGTAACGTCTTTGCCATGTATTTGTTATAGGTGGCCAGAATTCAATAGTGAGTGTGGGAAAAAGGAGGAAATTTATTCAATTAAAGTAAGGAGTTACTGTTGTTTTAAAAAGATTTATTTATTTTAGAGCGAGAGCAAGTGCGGGGGACAGAGGGGGAGAGAATCTGGAGCAGACTCCCTGCTGAGTGCAGAGCCCCACACGGGGCTTCATCTCACCACCCATGAGATCACAACCTGAGCAGAAACCAAGAGTCAGTCACTTCACTGACTGCGCCACCCAAGGCGCCCCAGTAAGGAGTTACCTTTAACACAATTCAAATAGGGGCGCCTGGGTGGCTCAGTCATGATTCTGGGAGTCCCGGGATCGAGCCCTGCATCGGACTTCCTGCTCAGAGCGGGAAGCCTGCTTCTCCCTCTCCCACTCCCCCTGCTTGTGTTCCCTTTCTCACTGTCTCTGTCAAATAAATAAATAAAATCTTAAAAAAAAAAAAAACAATTCAAATAGCTTGATTCAAATTCAGGCGAGGAAGATTATCAAATTATAAAAGGGTAAGGCCAGTTGTACACCAGGAGGGAAGACCTCAGTAACCAAAAATTACACTTTTTACCTTAACTCTATACATTGGTGTTTCTGTTTTACGCATGTTTGGGTGCTTATATGAGCTTACAAGTAGGTATTTGCATTTTGTTTTATTAAGGAAAACCAGAAAGAGAAAGAAATGGGGGATAGAAGTCAGTAAGATTCTACTAAAAATGATCCAACCTCATTCTTCTGTTAGGCTGATGCTGTTTTTTGCCCCACACAGCAAGTCATGGCCATTTTTGTCTTGATGCCCCCGTTCCCACTCTGCTTTGATGCCTTGCTCAAAATCTTGTCCCTGAAGCTTTGCGGTGCCAACCTGAGTCTACAGTGACCTTATTCTTACTCTAATGCCTTGAGTTGTTTTCTAGGTTTTGGGGGGGTTTTGTTTGTTTGTTTGTTTCCACATGTGTTCCTCTTGTGCAAAAGAACGTGAAGTGATTAGGAGCTCAATCTCCAGTCAAGGCCATCTGGTTTAGGAACTTGGCTTTACCACTTTCCTTGGTAGTGTGATCCTGGGCAAGCTCTTTAACCTCTGTTTCCTCATTTGTCAAAATGAGAGTAATAATAGTACCTAGGTTACTGTATTGTTGTAAGGATTAAGTGGCATAGTTCAGGAAAGGCCCAAGGCAGGGTCTCTAGCACGTAGTAAGTGCTATGTAAAGCTGCCCTTTTTGGTTGCTTGCCAATAAACACCTTACAGGCAGTATCGCTCAGGGTCAGGGAGGACTGTTTTGTTTTTGTTCTGTTTTGAAACACTACCAAGACAGTGGGCTCAGCAGCACTAGTCACAAGTTGACCTCAACACAGAAAAAGATGAAAGGAGATTAAGATTATGGCATACCAAATATCTACATTAAAACAGAAACAGTCCATTGATTTTTTTTTCCAGATAGTTTTTTTTTTTAAAGATTTTATTTTTAAATAATCTCTACACCCATCATGGAGCTTGACCTTACAACCCCAAGATCAAGAGTCGCATGCTTTACCGACTGAGCCAGATGGGCACCCCTTCAGGTAGTTTTGAATACCCAGATAGTTGACAGTCTGCAATAAAGAATATTAAGTTTAGCTGAGATTTTGGTGTCCTTCAGACTCAATCAAGGTGTTAAATATAAAATGGGGTACAGGGAGAGTACCCACAGAATGCACAGCAGGAGAATATTGTGACCAGTTAAGCCCTCTTTCATTAGCCATTCTAAAGAATGAGAAATGCATTTAAGTTTCAGTATGAGGTATTGAAGAAAGATTTTTCTGACAAGGAAGCATAAAAATGATTATGAATTTTTTTTTTTTAAGATTTATTTATTTTATTTGAGAGAGAGAGAGACTCATCAGCCGACTCCACGCTAAGCCTGGAGCCCAGTCCGGGGCTCAGTCTCACGACCCATGAGATCACGACCTGAGCTGAAACCAAGAGTCAGATGCCCAACCAACTGTACCACCCAGATGCCCCAGATTATGAAATATCTTCAAAAATAGCCATCCCACAAAGGAAATAGTGGATGTTTGACACGTATAACATTTCCAACTGTTTTATCAGACAGGTATGAGTTAATTGTTTTAAAATGCAAATACAGTGTTAGGTTAAAGTGGGGTTTAGAAAACCATGTGTGAATCCCATAGCTAATATTTACTAGCTATACAAATGGGCAAGTTCCCTAGACTCTCAAGCCTCAATGCCCTCATTCTTAAGACCACTGCTTGAATAAGATGATTTATAGGACCATGTATAGTATACTATCTGAAACTTAACCGCCACTCCATAACTGAACATTTCTATTTCTTTTCTTTTCTCTGAGCTCATAGAAAGTGACTGGAATCAAAGTAGGACTTGAATTAGAAAACTGAAGAGGGGCCTTGCCCTAGAATCGATCTCCAAAGTCTTGAAGAACAAATATCATATCAGTTAAAACCCTATTTACATATTTACAATTTCCTTGGAAGATTTGTGTGAGATTTCTCTGTGATTGAAGTTACTAGTACTTCTGATTAAATGAAAATTAATTTTGAAACATGTGATCAAACTATGTATTTTCACTGTAAGAACAGCCTCCGCCAACACAAAGCCAGGAGCATGTACCCACTCCGCCATGTGCCGGGCTGCTAGCTGGGCATTTCCCTAGCACTTGGCTCTAACAGCAAGTGATCACAGGGGTCTCCTTGCTCAGGGTATTAGGTGATACCCTGCCCAGAGAACGGACCTCAATTCTGTGGCGTTTTGTGTTTGAAACAGGGAACTTAAGACATCAACTCAGCAGCTAATGACCTACTGAAAAGAAGAGAATGCTATAAAAGAAAATATCCAGAGTCATTGTGGTCCAAGTTTATTTCATCAAACAGTTCTCTTCGGTTACAAACACATGTATGTATCTTCATGGTGGATTGGGACAGAAAGTTGAAGAGCTCCCTGCTACATATTATCAGGCTGAAATTTGTAGGGTCCTGCAGTGGTAAAGGAGTAAACCAGACAGGCCCTGTCCTCACCTTGGCTTTACAGTTGAGGTATAGGATAAAGGTCTGAACTGGCCTGGTTGAAGGCGGTAGGGAGAGGTGGAGCCCGAGAGGAACTTGAGACCACCGGGCTTAAAAATATTAAGTTTCTTATTTTTTTCTCAACTGCTGGCCAAGCTAAACATGTTGAGGGCAAATCTGTTGGCTCATGAGAACGTGTGATGCTGGATAGGTTATCTCATGAAAATGCAAGTTTACCTTGTCATACCTCAAAGACGTGAAGAGGCCATTGTGTGGTCAAAGAATGAAAGAAAACCTGGAAACACTAGGACTCCTGTGCTTGGAAAATAAACTGAACAGGGTTGTGATTAAAGTCAATGAAGGAATTAGATCAGCTGAACCTTAAATTGTTTACCAGTAAGTCAAAGATACTAAAAAATCAGGTGAGGTTTTTAAGACTAAAAGGAAGTGGGGTGCCTGGGTGGCTCAGTCATTAAGTGTCTGCCTTTGGCTCAGGTCATGATCTCAGGATCCTGGGATCAAGCCCTACATGGGGCTCTCCACTCTGCAGCAAGTCTGCTTCTCCCTCTCTGTGATCTCTCTCTCAAATAAATAAAATCTTAAAAAAAAAAAAAGACATGTCTATTCTATGGGTTAAATGAGAAGGGTTCTGAGGAAGCAAATGTGGACTTTCTGTCAATCTCACTAAGAGTCCAAGGTGATTAATAAAATAATATCTGTACAATTCTAACTATGCCAGTCTCTTGAGGATTATATTCCAATTGTCCATATTATAGTCTAGCTAAAAAATCTGAGAGTGGTGCTAAGTATGCTACTTTTTTCTCTTAGCTTATTTCTGTTGTACAGTCTTTATTGCTAAAATCACTTAAAGTGTATGCACACTCTATTTTCTTTTTTTTTTTTTTTAAAGATTTTATTTATTTATTTGCGAGAGAGAATGAGAGACAGAGAGCACGAGAGGGAGGAGGGTCAGAGGGAGAAGCAGACTCCCCGCTGAGCAGGGAGCCCGATACGGGACTCGATCCCGGGTCTCCAGGATCATGACCTGAGCCGAAGGCAGTCGCTTAACCAACTGAGCCACCCAGGCGCCCTGCACACTCTATTTTCAAATGACTACAGGGGCACCTGCACAGCACAGTCGGTTAAGCATCTGCTTTCGGCTCAGGTCGTGATCCCAGGGTCCTGGGATCGAGCCCCATGTTGGGCTCCTTGCTCAGCAGGGAGTCTGCTTCTCCCTCTCCCTCTGCACCCCGCCCCCCACTCATGCTTGCCCTCTCACTCTCTCATTCTCACTCTCTCAAATAAATGAAGTCTTAAAAAAGAGAGAAAACTCTACAGGTTAAAAAGTAAAAAATGAAATATAAGAGAATCACCTGAAGTAAAAACAAACATACAAGAGGAGAAAAATATGGTTTTTGTTATAGCCTTTTGTGTGGAAACTCTGTGGCATATTTGAGGAAGTATCTTTAAGTATTCCCTTCCCCCATTTTGTAGGACATGATCAATTATATCATCTGCTCCTCTAGGTAACTTGGCAGCTGTTAATTGACATTATTCCCTGAGTTTTGCTGTAGCCATAGATGGTTCTAGAACATAAAAACAAAAGATTTGCAAGAATAGCTTTCATGGAGAGGGGGATGAGGGGAATGGGTGAAATAGGTGATGGGGATTAAGGAGGACACTTGTGATGAGCACCGGGTGTCGTATGGAAGTGATGAATCACTACATTGTACACCTGAAACTAATATTACACTGTATGTTAACTAACTGGAATTAAAATAAAAACTTTAAAAATAAATAAATGGGGGAAAAAGAATAAATATTGACCAACTGGGAAGAACAAAGTAAATATTTACATAGTCATAAATCATTTTCGTTTTCCCAGAGGTTTTATGATGTTCTACATATCTGAATGTTTTAATGTATTGATGTATAAAGCAGAAGCAATTAAGTAATTTAATACCAACAGAATTTATACTTCAAATGGCGAAAGAATGGATCATCTCAGTTTGTGGTAAGATACCCAGATGCTTCCTGTTACTCTGTCCAGAATGATGTTAACATTAACCTCAGAGGAGGCCGTTAAGCCAGTCTTGAGCTAGAAATGGTAAGCATTATGTTTCTATCTGTGGAGGAAGGAGGGAAGAATTATGTTACCTAAAATGTATGAGCAGCCAAGTTAGAGAACGTTATACAGTAATCACTGATGATGTGATAAACTATCATTCATTCCCTACCATATATGTCCATCTCTCTGAAATAAAGCTAACAAAAAAATTATAGGGAAAGAGACTCATGGTATCATTCTTAGAAAGCTCAGGTAAATACTCCATGCAGGCCTTTTGTCTGTTTTTTTTCCTTCTATTGGAAGAGGGTTTCTATCTTTTCTAAATCAAACTGTTTGAACAGTGTGTTACTGAATTCTCTTTTGCTTCCCTCTCTTTATCCTGACTTGAGTTCAGAAAATTCTGAAATGTTCATTCTTTTAAACTACAAAAGGGGATTTTGTGTATTTGTTGTTTACGCCAACTCCTTAATTTGAAGTAAAAGAAAAAAGCAAACAGCAAAGCAGCAATTACAAAAAGCCTCCACAATGTACTAAGTTGTCCAGATTTTCATTTTTGGATTATATCCATTTATAGTATTTGGTTTAGGGGCACCTGGGTGGCTCAGTTGGTTAAGTGTCCAACTCTTGATTTCGGCTCAGGTCATGATCTCAAGGTATGAGATAGAGCCCCATGTTGGGCTCTGTGCTGAGCATGGAACCTGCCTAAGATTCCCTCCCTCTCCATCTGCCCTTCCCCTGCCACTCTTGTGCATGCACCCTCTCTCTCTCTCTTAAAAAAAAAAATAGTATTTTCTTTCATTAATCTGTAACACTGCATCAAAATCATTATAATACTGAAGCATACTAAGTCTTCCAAAACATACCAACTCTTCCAAAATTGAGCTATCTTAAAGGAAAATAGAATGTGCTTTTTTGTGTTACCTAATAATTAGAAAAACCAAGTTCTAGGCAAGTAAATTGCTTACAGTTACATAGACTAGCCCAATTCTAGAGGGAAATAACTCCAAGTGTTTTGTTGTATTTTTTGTTGTTGTTAACTAAACTACAGACTTTATTCAGATTTCATCAGCTTACCACTAATGTCCTTTTTCCACTCCGACACTCAAGTCTTTCCTTCTCTTTCATGACCTCAACCTTTATGAAGAGTACTGGTCAGTCATTTTGTAGAATGTCTCCCAATTTGGGTTTCTCTTATGTTTTCTCATGATTAGATGAGGTAATGTAGTTTTGGCAAGAAAATCTCAGACGGGATGTGTCCTTTTCAGAGCATCCTATCAGGGGGCATGATGTTGAGATGTGTTATGGCTAGTTGTATAGTTTTCTGCTGCTGCTGGAGTAAATCACCACAGACCCAGCACCATAACACCATCCATTTATTATCTCTTGGTTTCTAGAGGTGAGAAGTCCAGGCAAAGTGTGGCTGGCTCTCTGCTCAGGGTCTCACAAGGGTGAAATCAAGGTGTTGCTGGACTGCATTCGCATTTGGAACTTGTAGTCCTCTTGCCAGCTCACTCAGGGTGTTGGCAGAATTCAGTTTCTCGGTTATAGGACTGAACTGTTTTCTGGCCGTCTGGCAGTGAGGGATCACTCTCACTTCCAAGAGGCCCCTCTCCAGTTCTAATTGATGGCACATCCATCTATAAGGGCAGCAGGAAAACCTCCCAGACAATCCCTCTCACACCTCGAGTCTGTGACTTCTAGGCCCAGGTGTAAAAGGCCCTTATGGGACACCTGGATGGCTCAGTCAGTTAAGTGTCTGCCTTCAGCTCAGGTCATGATGCCAGCGTCCTGGCATCGAGTTCTGCATCGGGCTCCTTGCTTAGCAGGAAGCCTGCTTCTCCCTCTGCCACTGCCCCTGCTTGTGCTCTCCTTCTCTCTCTCTCTGTCACATAAATAAATAAAATATTAAAAAAAAAAAAAGGTAAAGAGGACAAAGGGAGTAAGCAGGCATCTTAGAATTCTGCTTGCCACACTAGTGATTATTAATCTTGATTACTTGGTTAAGCTGGTGTCTTCTGGGTTTCTCCACTGCAGAGTTACTGTATTTCCACTTGTAATTACAAAGTATCTTGGGAGACATACTTTGAACTATGCAAATAGTCTGCTTCTCAAAATTTCCCATATTAATTTTTTTAATGATTTTATTTGAGAGAGAGAGAGAGAGCATGAATCGTGGGGAGAGTCAGAGGGAGAGAGAGAAGCAGACTCCCTGCTGAGCAGGGAGCCAGACTGGGGCTCCATCCCAGGACCCCAAGGTCATGACCTGAGCTAAAGGCAGACGCTTTACCGACTCAGCCACCCAGGCACCCCTTTCCCATATTAATTTTAACATTCTTCAGTGGAATTGTCCATTCTCCATGTATGTATGTATTTATTTATTTCATTGTGGACTCATGAGAATACATATTTTATTTAGGGAGTTATAATCCATCATTATTTTGTTGTTCAACTTGTTCCAGCTTTAGCCATTGG